AGTCACCATCGGTCTGATCTCAATAGAAGTTGATCTTCCAGTCCTCGGCATCGTTGTTGATTCGGTCCTAGTAGAAGTTAGCCTTTTGATCCTCATTGTTGCGTCAATCCAGTCCCAGTGGAAGTCATCGCGGTCCAATTCTAGTGTAAGTTGACCTTCCAATCTAATGGTCATCGTCAATCCCATTGTCATCCTTAGTTCCATCCCGTTGGAAGTTGATGGTCCCATCCCAATAGTCACCATCAATTCAGTGTTAGTAGTCTTTATTGTTTCGATCCTTGTGGAAGTTAGTGGTCCCATCCTAGTAATCACTGTTAGTTCGATCCCCATAGTTACCATTAGTCCAATCTTAGTGGAAGTCGGTTATCTTATCCTGGTTATCATTTGTTTGGTCCCAGTAAAAGTTATGTAACATCCTTAATTTTAAACCAAATTTATTAAGCCTAATTAGATTAATTAAGTATATTAGTGAGGTGTGTGGCTAGGGAAGCCTAATGGGTGTGTTTGATTTCAATTTCAGTCTTAAACGCAGGTTTGAAGGAGAATCATGTTAGCCAAGAATGAAAGAAGAAGAAATTCTAAAAGGGAAAATTCTGTGTCAGGCGTCGTGGCTTGTGGATAAGCCGCTGTGGCACATGTATGGCAACACACTTAGGAGGTGCTCTTTGTGCCATGAGTCACGACACATTAAGTGCCCGTCGCGGCTCATAGTCAGTTTTTTACTATAATAAGGTCACGAAATTGATGCAATAAACAAAGAATACGAGGGAAAGGCGAAAAAGCAGTACTAAGGCTTAGAGAATCTAAATATTAGGAGTATTTTGGAGCTCTTAAACATCAAAGGTAAGCTTCTTATACTTAAATTTTTCTCTCTCCTTCTATTTTCCCAATGATAGAAGTTAGGGTTTGATTGATAATGGTGATTTTTGGTCCATAAAGGCTATGGGTCCAAACTCATTGACTTAAATAGAGTTAATGGGAGTAGATTGAGCTAAGAAAACTTGGTATTAATGATTATATGAGGATTGGTTGTTAAAGAGCATTAAATGTTCAAAAATCCTCATAACTATGTTGGTTGGGAACAATGTGGTCCCATTAATAACCATTAAAGAGCTCAATAATATTAATGAGGGTTAAAGGAAGCTAAGAAACCCTATGGATATTTTTGTATGAGTCAAGATTAAATCTTGAGCATTAAGAAGTGTTGAATTGTTAATAAAAATTAACCCAAATGTGGATATTGATGATTGGCATTGTAAATGCTTGTAGAGCGACTATCTTTAGCACCATTCAAGCTTCTTGGAAGCTTTGGGAGTGAGTATTTGAGGGGTGAAATCTTTGACCTCTCAAAGATTTGAGGTAACTAAGGGTGTTGTGTGTTAATTAGTTTGTTGAATAATATTTGATGATTGAATTATGTGAAATTGGTTAAAATGCAAATGTGGCTTGCTTTGTTGAAGAGCCCACTATTGAAGTAGTGATTTAATATAGACCAATGATTTTGAAATTTTAGAGCTCAATGATTTTCAATGAATGAGGTACAATGATTATGAAAACATGGAGTACAATAATGTGTGTAATTAGGAGTTCAATGATTTGAGTTGCTAGAAATTCAATAATTTTGAAATTTATGGAGTTCAATAATTGTGAATGTGTGGGTACAATGATTTTAAAATTAGGAGTTCAATAACTTGTTTGATTTGGAGTTCAATGAAAATATGTTTGAGGAGTTCAATGATTTGTAAAATGGTAGAGTTCAATGAAATTGGTTATGTGAAGTTCTATGAATTATGGTAAATGTGAATTGTTACATGAATATGTATTACATGATCGTGAGAGGCGGGAGTTTTCCTAAGAAGAGGAATAGAGAATTAAATCCACGTGGTAGGGTTCCCATTCGAGTGTGACTTGCCCAGATTAATTATATTTATATTGTCCTACTTTTTCAACAAGGGACTGTCTCACTAGTTCAAAAAGAGACTCAAACCTAGCTAGCTATCCACTATTTCAATAAGGAAACTAGTTTAGGGAGTATGACACCCCATAGTGTGAGAAATGGGGAAACTATATTTTACAAGTGAGATAGGTAAACCTTAATCGAGTAATCCCTTCACAAGTGTTTAGGCTAGTGAAGTCCTGAATTATAGACTATCCCATTATGCTATAGCCCACAGTTTTATGTCAGAAGAATAAGAAGGATATAAGGGAGGTGTTATTATGCATATAGTGAGAAAGCGCACATTGTTGTTGTATTGTGACCCTAATGATAAAAATCATGAATTGAGTTTTAATCTCTTTTGAGTATATATCATTTGATTGTGTGACAAACTATTTTCTATATGAAAATTACTAAAAAGCATTATTTCACAAGTATGTGCCATCACGCCCAGAAAAGTGAATTTATGCTCTTGAATGCTTTACATGATTTGGAAAAATTGATTGTACATGCCACTCACATTTAAATTAATTGACATGCATTAGTATGAGTTAGTTAGACATTGGTTATTGAGTAGTTATACTCACCCCACTATCTTTAATATTACAGGGAATAGCTCAAGAGGATCGAATAAAGGAAAGCACCCGGAGGCTTAGAATTGCGATCCTATTTTGTATGCTTCTTTATTTTTGATTCATTACGTGTATTTGACAATTTAAATTGCCAACTGGGATTAGTCCATGTTTATAGTTCTTACTTGCATTATGTGTTTGTGGATTGTAAGTGTATTTTGGGCCTTAGGGAGTGAGTTTGTGAAGTATGATATATATGATGGGCCAAAATACTAATGGAAGTGAAAGTTGGGCATGATATATGTTGATTATGAAATATTTGGTGAAAAATGATTTGAACTCCCCCTTGCATGTTTTTGAGGTTAAGAGGTTGAGTAGTGAAATTGTGATTTATAAGTGTTTAATGTGATATGGTGCATTGTATGAGTTAGTTTTGGTGTTTTGCATGTGGTTTAAGTGGTGTTAATGACTATTGGCTTTTAGTGAATGATTAAACACTTAGTTTTGTAAAAATTATTGAAAAAGTGCGAGTTTTGAAAAGAGTGTCTAAATTTTAATTGTGTAATAATTTAATTATGAAACTAAACCCATTAGTTAGAGCTCGGAAAGAGCTTTCTGTAGACACATTATTCGTGTCAATCAAATGTCGGACGGAGGATTAGGGTGTGTTAAAAGTTACCCTAAAAGCTGTTAAATTGACAGCAAAAATTACTATCAAAGATCATGCAAATGCGCTGCGGTGCATGGTACCACGAGCTATGGTACATGGCACAGAAACAAACACACTACGATGCATGTTCGATAAGCCACGGCGCATGCCCCAAATTTCTATAGAATTATTTTATTTTCATATTCTCTTGCAAATGCACTTATGTTTGAAAAGATCATATGCTTCTATACAATTGTGAACTCTGATTTATCTAATTTAAAGACTTGTAAAGTGGTCTTAGTTTTGTAAACTTGGGATCCTAACTTTTCCACCATTTGTAACTTGGTCTCAAGGTAATCATCTTAGTCTAATCTTCTTATTAATTGAGATTTGGAGTTAATTAGGGTTTAGAAGGAGGAGGATATTACAAGTTAGCTGTCTCGTCCCGGTTGTTGTCGTTTGTCCAATCCTAGGGGAAATTAGTCATCCTGTCTTGATAGTCACCGTCGTTCCTATTTCGATGGATGTTAGCCATCTAATCTCGATTGTTGCCATCAATTCGGTTCCAGTGGAAGTCAGTCATCTAGTCTTGGTCAACAGTGGTAGCTTGTTTTCTTCAATTTCAATAGTCCAGTCCAATTATCGTTGGCAGGTCGATCAAGCCTTGATGGATTTAGGCCAAATTACAAAAGAGATTGAGTTAAGATTTGAAATAATAAGAGTTTAGAACGGATTTTAAATTATAAAGATATTGAAGCAGAACTTGGATTGAAATTTGGGTCAAATCTAAATCCATACATTTTTAATTATCCAAATAATGAATTTGACTCAAATCCAAATCCATGTGTAACCAAACATAGCGTAAAATTATTTTATTAATTTCTTTTACCATTAATTTCATTCAATTTAGTCATCTAAAAGAATGGTAAAGTTATTACTTTAGAAAATGTTTAATCAAATTTCAAAATTTTAGAAGATAACAATTTAGATACATAAGAGCATTTTATTTCATGGCATATAGTCATTTTAAGCTAACCTCAACTTGCATTTGAGAAAATATTTAATTTGATAGTGCTAAAAGAATTATGTAATAGAATGGAATTTTAATTGAGATCAATTCAAGGGTGAATTTTGATTTTTTTTTTACATAATTAGACATATTTGTGTGCCAAAGAAAGAAATACCACATTAGAATAAATATAATGCTTATAAGATTTATAAGGTCTAAAATTTACACACGAAAAACACAATTATTCTGTGCATGCATCTTAAGTTCTTATCATGAATAATTAATAATTGTTTAAACCTGTCATTTTTATATGCAATTGCAAATTATTTTCACAATGCTTACATGAATCAGACTTTACAACAGTTCGATACAAAGCATGAATGTGCATGAATCAAATCAAGCATATGTTGATGGCTTGATTCAAGGGTGATTTAATCTAACAAAATGAAATATATATGCAAATACACTGTACAACGATTGAATGCATTAAACTTGTATTTTGATGTACAAATAATTTCGGGATAACAAAAACTTTTAATCTTTTAAGTTAGCTTTAATTATTAATTTGTTTCCTCAAGTTTGAAATTTATTGATTTTGTCCTTAAGCTTATGCTATAACTACTGAAACTCGAAAAATTTTATAAATAAAAAAACAAAATGTACCTTGCACATCAGCATATTTGACATGCCAAGTATGCAACAAATTAATTTGGAAGTCAATTGTTGTTTTAAAATATAAAGGACTAATGTGATAATTTAAGAGGATTAAATTGATAAGGATAAATTTGAGGTGCTAAATCCCATCAAAACGCCTGGTTTTCTAGATAATTTACATATGATGCTTTGCGGATTAGCCATATATTTGTTTCTATTTTGTACTGAAATACCTTCTTATACACACAACCAAACATCAACTTTGATATCATACTCTTCACTACTATCTCTAACACTCTTTGAAATGACGACATCCTCTTCAATACCTTGTCTTATCTCCTTCACAATCTTCTTCCTCATCATTTCAACTTGTGTGAAATCTAAAAAAGATTCTTTCGTCATAGAAATCATACACCGTGATTCTCCAAAATCCCCACTATTCGATAACACCACAACTCACTTCCAAAGATTCTACAATGCCTTGCTTCGATCTGAACAGCGAATGAATTACTTGTTCCCCAATAAAACTAGCACCATAAACAATTATGATCCGCGACCTACTTTGTTTGGCCGACCTGGAGGAGAATATGTCATGCAGTACTCCTTGGGACGTCCAATGTTTGAAACATATGGCATCATTGACACAGGTAATTAATGTCAACATTGCATTTCGTCTATCTGGTTAGAAAAATGGATAATGAAGTTTAGTCACTCAATTTTGCGCCAATTATTGATTTGGCCCATCAAGTTTAATTTTTAACAAGTCAACCCCTTATGTTTTTGTAAGTTATCACGTGTTAGTCATCTAGGTTTTAATACACAAATCCTCAAGTTAATCTGTGTGAAGTATGTCGATAGTTTGACATGTGTAGGTTTTTAAATAAAAACAAGTCAGATTTCACAAGTCATCTGACTTGTTAAAATAAAGATATAATAAGAAAATCATATGATTTTTCTCATTTAGCCACATTTATATGTCAAGTTATCAAGATACTTTACATTTCAATTTAACTAGAATGCTAACATATGTTTCAAAACCTAGCAAACTAACGTAGTAACGTAAGAAAATATAAGAGATTAGCTAAACTGATAAAAAATTAAATCCATGAGACAAAATTAGCAGTTAAGGCAAACTTGAGACACTAAAAGTCTCATTATCCCTGAAAAAAAAAATCACAAAAACTTGTTGAATTTTTGGTTGTGACAATGATAGGTAGTGACCTCACTTGGCTACAGTGCATACCTTTCACAACAAGTTTTGATCAAGGTTCTCTGCCGTACTTGGATACTAATTTTAACTGGGGTCTCCACGTTGTGGAATGCCAAAGCCGACCGTGCGTACACATTGTGAATCCATCAGTGACGCAAGTCTTTTGTGCTCATGATAGTTGTCAGTGTAAATATATGGTATCATATGCTGATGATTCAACTACAGCTGGAGACGTGTTCCACACGTTACTCAGACTTCAAACAGTAAATGGTGACTTTAGGGGATTTCCTATGTTCATATTTGGATGTAGTAGAGAAACAACAAGTGATATTGGTCCAGGAGCTTTTTCTGGCATAGTTGGGCTTGGAAGAGGACCAGCATCACTGGTCTCACAACTCTATAACTACATTGATGGAAAATTCGCTTACTGTTTAGCACCAGTTGGGCAAGATGCTGATAATGACATGAGGTTTGGTCCAATTGCTGCTGTTTCTGGACCAGATGTCGTTTATACTCCAATGATAGCAGGAAATTCAATAACTTATTATCATATTTTGATGGAGGGGATTACTGTGGGAGACGTATATATACCTTTTTTATCAGGTGATGATTGTGAATTTAATCCCATGCATGCATTAATTTGGTCAACATTTTTTATTTTCTATTTATAGTTTATGGGATAATAAAACTTTTAATCCTTAAATTTCTCTAAACTTTTGATTTAGTCTTTAAACTAAAATTTGATTCAGTATAATTCAGTTTTTATAGTTTGTTGAATTATGAAATTATGGAGGTTTGAGTTGTATTGAGTCAAGAAACTATATATAAAAACTAAATTCTTTCAAGGTTAAAAACTATAAGGAATAAGTTGTTCTAAATCAAAGTTCAATGATTTGATCAACATATAATTGTGGAAAAGTTCAAGGATCAAAACTGATATTTTCCCATAATTGATTCAATAATAGATATTCTGGTTGAAATAACATCATCATCATCATCATCATCATCATAATACTGCTACCCCCTTTCTGAAAACAAATAATAACAGCAATATATATGTTAATATTTTATTTATTAGTTTTGATCACAATCAATTTATCATGGTTGTTTCACTCACATCCTTCCTTGCAATGTTTATAATTTAAATTTAACAATGAAAGTTCATAATTATTATTGCATCTTTAAATTCTTAGAATGATTATCGTATAATCTTACCAATGAATGGAAGATTGTTAGCTAGTTACATGTTTATTACATCAATAGAATTATTAAACACTGCTTAATTAATTATCATTCATCATTTCTTACACATCCATGTGTTTAGTTATTTTGCTGATCACATTCACAAAAGTGATTAAATAAAGTTTGTTTTTGCATGTGATATTATTTTTACATAAAAATAAATGCAGGTAATACTATAGTAGTAACTAGACTACCAGAAAGATTTTACTCATTTGTTGAAGGACAAGTTGCAAGACATTTGGATCCTTTGTATACACGTGCAAGGGACCCAGGAGGATTTTACAGCCTTTGCTATTCAATTACCGATGTTGAGAGAATTCAAGGTCCAGGTATTACAATTCATTTAAGAGGAGGAGATTTAGCGTTAAGTGCATATAATATCTATGCTATGATTGATGATGGACTGCTGTGCTTCAATTTTAAATCTTACCCAGCCGATGAAGCTATCCTTGGGACCATGCTTCAGGCAAACTTCATGGTTTCATATGACCTTCGAAGGAGGCAAATTGCATTCAAGAAAATGAATTGCGCCTATAGCCACCTGGACTGATACACACACACACACACACACACATATTGTGTAATGAATGCAGTAATTTCTGGTGTTCATTGAAAAACAGGCATATATTTGCTTCTTCGTTTGAATAAATGAGTTAATTATCAATTTATTAGTCATTGTTTATATTTCCCTCTAGTTAGCTTCTTGCATTGACAAACAAGGGAACGTGATTGCATAGTGATGTTAACACGGAATCTCTCCATTTTCTCATCATCCTTTACTCTCAATCTACTTTCCCTAATCATAACCATTTATCAAATCTATGCCTAAAACAGATTCACTTCATGCAGTGATTTAAATTGTTTTTGTTGGGTTATAGGGTTACTCACCCTTGGCGAATCAAGCCCAAATACAAGCCCAATTAAAGAATGGGGCTTTGCCAGAATATTATGATAGTCTGGGCTCCTATATGTAATATGCCTGGGCCTTAAGTGCATTTTCCCCTTGTTTTTTGAAGAAGAGTGGGAGCCGTTCCTTAACTGCATGCATATTCGGAAAACTGCCACATGAATATGGGAGTTATATGATGAGGCAAGCGTGATATAATCAAACACACATTTCATTCTAGACAGCACTTACAAAATCTCTCTCGTCTCATTCTCTTTCTCTCTTCCTACCTGTCAGTGCATTTGCTATAAAACCAAGAACCGGGTTTGAATAACTCTGTTTGTGTAGAGGTATCCACTGCAACTCACAATGCACGTTTTTTGAACTCCATTTTCTTATAGTTAAGATTAAATAAGTGGATGAAAAAGGATGATATAAGAAAATGGAGAGATTTTGCATCCGATTGTGCCTGGCATATGATAATCCATATAATAAAAGGTTTTAGGTTTTCCATCAAATTTTAAATTGTCTTTTCCACATATTTTTGGATTAAGACTTGGTTTTTTTTTTTAAAAAAAAACTGATATTCTAATAATGGAGACAAAAAGTGAATTCTTTATAGTAGAGTGGAGGCTTTATGACTAACACTGGGCAAACAGATTATAGGTCAACCCACACGGGCTGGCATTTTTGCAGGTTGGGTTGAGTCAGCTCATTAGATAAAATAGGCTGGAAAACTCAATTTAACTCATTTTCTAAAAGGCTGGCCAACTTGTAGGCTGGCCCGCAAAAATTTATCATAATTTTTTTAACAATTTAAAATTTGTATAATACAAAAATATATATATATATTTCACATTTTAAAGAAAATTAGCAATTAAAGAATTTGTAAATAAATAAAATAAACATAACATTCAATCAAGAAAATTCATTTTACTATATTTTTACTATTAATCATCTTCTTGCCTAAGTGTGTTATCTTTCTCACTAAGAAAGAAAATTTGAATATAAACCCATATTAATTTTTTCAATGAATTTATATTTGTGATTTTAATCAATAGATCTGATGAGATTAATAAATAATATATATTTAAAATATTTTTATAAAAACTAATAAATTATTTATTTACAAACTATAACAAAAATTTTATTTTCAAATTGTAAAAAGGATTTACACTAGATTTTAAATGTAAAGACATATTTGGAAGTCATCAATTATATATTTGAGAAATATGGTCTTTATTGTAAATTTATAAAAAGATATAATTTAATTAAAAATAAAAAAATTTTTTAAAAACAAATGCTAGCCTACAAGCCAGCTCGTGTAGCCCGTGAGCCAAACCGTTTTAACTTGATAGTTTTACAAGTTAAGCTAGCCTAACCCATTTTAAAAAACGAGCCAATTTGTTCAACTTAATCCGTCAAATTTTGTGAGTTAAATGGGCTAGCCCGCAGGCTTAACCCATTTTCCCGGCTTTATTTATGACTCACAATAACTTTAGATTTCAAGAGAAAAATCTACTTAATAAAGCGTTAAAAGGACATTCTTAACTTTAAACTATTGAACTATTAGGGGCATAAAGTAATGTAAGTCCCAAAAATTGCAAACAATTGCCAAAGGGTTAGTGTTATTTCTTATGTACATGTAAAATCCCAAAATACCATTTAAACCAACAATTTTGATTAGTTGTTGGGTAATTATTGAATTGCCATTGTTGGCAACAAACATTCTTTTGGGACATATTATTTGAACTGATTTTTGGAACTTATTTTTCTAAAAATTTTATTAGAAATTTAAATGTTATTAATTCACTCTTTTAGAATTTAACTATCATTCTTTGTTTTCTCAAAGTTTCCTGAACGAGTTCAAACATGCAAAAGAAAAACAATTCCCAAATGGAAATGACTACTAAATATTGTGATTTCAGTAATCACCCAAACCTAAATGTTTAAAGAAGATCCTTGCACAAAGAACAAGGATCACCCAAACTTAAAGTCCTCAAAGATTAGTGAGAAAATTAGTGTTTTTATATGGTGATACTAGTCAATGGCATGTATTAGTACTTTTGTTCTAAACCCAATAAGATGGTTTGACTACTAAAAACAATAGTGATCTATTTTCTTGAAAGACCCAAGACAAGAAACAACAATACAAACCCTACAAATCAAGAACCTATAAATGATGAAATTAGAAAATGATGAGCATATTTCTTCTTGAAATCAAAAAATCAAAAACCACTACTAGAAAACTGTTAATAGAGGACTCCTCATATAGGATAGTTTAATACAAAACTGTCCTATATAAGAAGGCAAAGGAAAGTGTGATGTATAATGAAAATGATATAGGATGATTACCAATAAAACGGTCCTATATAATTTAATAAATATAGGATGGTACATCCCTAAACTGCCCTATATTTGTTTTTGAAATTAAAAAAATAAAATTTTTTAAAAACTGAACTGATAGAGGACGGCTATTTTGAGGAACCGTCCTTTATGTTTTCAAAATATAGGACGGTTCTTTATGTGAACCGTCCTATATTTACTTTGTCCCTTATATCAATTTCCATTTTGAAAAACCAAAGCAGAGAGAAAAAAGTCAAAACAAAGACAAAGTTGAAAACCTCTCGGGCGTTCGTCTTCTTCAACCCCAAAGCCTCATCTTACTCAACAAAATTCCAAAACCTATTTCTTCATTTTTTGGTGAAATTCTGAAGGTAGAACTTGCTCACAAATGCTATTATTGCTTCTTCAACTTCACGCGATAGTATTAGGCATTTGGAGTTCTTGTTAATTGTAAGCTTCTTGCTATTACTCTTATTTGATGTTTCTTTGTATTTGTACATTCTCTATATCTCTGTGTGTTCAAATCAAATGTTGAGATGTGATTTAAAGGAGATTAGAGTTTTGATTTATAGTTTTATCACTATGCACATGAGATGCTCGATAAAATGCCTGAAAGGAAAGAAAGTTTAGGAAATAGCAAATTTGATAGTTAATATTGAATTTAAGGTTATAGTATTATTGTCTTGTTTGTTTCTTATGAGTTATAAAGTGAAAAATCCAAATGCTCACAACTCACCAACATTTTGAAGAGCAGACAAAAAAAAAAAGAGGAACGAGTAAAGCTATTTTGACTTTGATGTTTTATCATTAATTTCTTTTGGCCCTCGCTATTCTACTTCAACCTTTGTTTCTTAACATTGTCTGAAAGTTCTTTTAGTTTCAATGCCTTTAACTGCAAACAAAAATTTGAGGGGGGAAAATGTTGATAAAAGAAGAAAAAACATAGGCAAGATAGCTAAATTCCAGTAGCCAATACAAAATATTTGATGCATCACCATAATGTGCTTATTTTGTTGTTTCTACTCAACCATTAACATTAAATGAATGATGGTGCTATATTAAATGATAAATACAATTAGTAGAAAGGGTTAAATCTAGGTGGTTGGAAGAGAGGGCTAAGTGCCTTGGAAAGTTTCAATTTTAAGCTATTATAATGTTGAATTTTCATCTAAGAGTACTAACAAATAGTTAGTACTTTAAAATAAAAATTGTAGCTTATTAGACAACTAGAAGAACTGTAAGTCAAAATATACTTAAATTTATTTTTAATAGTGGCAATTTTTTATTAGGGATCCCCACTATTTTTAATCAAGTAATTCATGAGTAATGCATTGATAAGTTAGTAGTTAATTTATTATCTTGCACTTATGATGATTGAGCCATTTATCACATATCCCTTCACATTTTTTTTTTATAAATTTGAGATTATGCATAAAGAATGGATGTCTGCGGATCGACAATCGAGGAAATATATAGAGGGGGTGAACCACTTTATTAAGGTTGGTGTTGAGCATGAAGGAGACAGTAAGAGCATTATGTGCCCTTGTCTAAGATGTGGACTTATGAGGTAGGTCACTTCACGGGAATTAGAAGATGATTTAGTGGTTAATAGAAGTGATCAAAATTATAAGTGTTGGTATAAGCATGGAGAGGTAAGGGAAACATATAAGTACCCCACCTAGTGGGATAAAGGCTTGTTGTTGTTGTTGTTGTTGTTGTTGACTTTGACATAAGTGTAAGTGAGGTAGATCGTGTTGAAGAGATGGCCAATATGGTTGAAGTAGAACTCAATAATTTTCCTCAAATGCTTCAAAGGTTGAGAATGTGAGGACGACATTGTACACTGGTGCTAGGGAACACATGTCAAAGTTGATGGCAGTGTTAAAATTGTACCAATTGAAAGCATAAGGTAGATAGATCGATACGAGCTTCACAAACTTGCTTTTATATTTGCATGATGAAATGCTATCGAAGGATAACAAACTTCCAAGGCAATTATATGATGTAAATAAGATATTGAAATGCATTAGCTTGAGCTATGAGAAGATACACGCTTGCCCGAACGATTGCATTTTATTTAAGAAAGAACATGAATCATTATTTGAGTGCCCTAAATGTTTAGCATCACGTTATAAGGAGAATGGGAAGAGTCCAAAGAAGGTGCTATGATACTTTCTCATAGTATCTAAATTTAGACGATTGTATGAAAGTGAAGTGGAATCAAGAAATTTGACGTGGCATAAGGATGGGAGAATTAAAGATACAATGCTAAGGCATCCTGCTGACTCTCTATAGTGAAAAAAAGATTGATAGTGAGT